TTATGGATTTTTTCATGATGGCAAGGCACATTTTGGGCGATTTTTGAATTTTTTTTTAAAAAAAATTCATAATTTTTTAAAAAAAGTTCTTTTTTTTAAATTTTGTGTTTAGAAAAAAATGTTTTTTGAAAAAATGTTTTATAAAAAAACATTTTGGAAAAAAAATGTGACGTCCACCTCTAAGTGATCTCAAGAGACCTCAAAGTGAAGACCAAGCAACCTCCAGTTGATCTCAAGTGACCTCAAAGTGACGTCCAAGTGACCTCCAAGGACCTCCAGTGACCGTGTAAGTGCCTTTTTTTAAAATTTTTTTTTTTAAGAATTTTTTTTTTTTTGAAATTTTAGTTTTTTTTTAGAAATGTTTTTTATTTGGGAAAAATAAAAAAAAATGACGTACAAGTGACCTCAGAGTGAAGACCAAGCAACCTCCAGGTGATCTCAAGTGACGTCCAAGTGACCTAAGAGTGAAGACCAAGCAACCTCCAGGTGATCTCAAGTGACGTCCAAGTGACCTAAGAGTGAAGACCAAGCAACCTCCTGGTGATCTCAAGTGACGTCCAAGTGACCTAAGAGTGAAGACCAAGCAACCTCCAGGTGACCTCAAGTGACGTCCAAGTGACCTCAAAGTGACGTCCAAGTGACCTCAGAGTGAAGACCAAGCAACCTCCAGTTGATCTCAAGTGACCTCAAAGTGACGTCCAAGTGACCTAAGAGTGAAGACCAAGCAACCTCCAGTTGATCTCAAGTGACCTCAAAGCGACGTCCAAGTGACCTCAAAGTGACGTCCAAGTGACCTAAGAGTGAAGACCAAGCAACCTCCTGGTGATCTCAAGTGACGTCCAAGTGAACTCAGAGTGAAGACCAAGCAACCTCCAGGTGACCTCAAGTGACGTCCAAGTGACCTCAAAGTGACGTCCAAGTGAACTCAGAGTGAAGACCAAGCAACCTCCAGGTGATCTCAAGTGACGTCCAAGTGACCTAAGAGTGAAGACCAAGCAACCTCCTGGTGATCTCAAGTGACGTCCAAGTGACCTCAAAGTGACGTCCAAGTGACCTCCAAGGGACGTCTAAGTGACCTCTTTTGAAAAAAATTTTTTTCAACATTTTTGTTTTTAGAATTTTTTTTTTTTTAAATGTTTGAAAAAAACTTTTTTCTAAAAAAAATTTCAAAACCCTATTTTTTATGAAAAACGTGTAAAAACATTTTTTGAATTGTTTTTTAAAAAGATTTTTTTTTAAATGACAAAAAATGACCAAAAATGACAAAAAGTTCACATTTTGAGAAAAAATTGTATACACAAAAATTTCTAAAAATGTTCTCTATAAATGCTCTAATTTAATGAGAAATAAGAAAAATAATTTTACAAAATTGTTCTTCAAACTTTTTTACTTTTTGACCAAAAATGACACAAAAAGTTCACATTTTGACAGAAAATATTGTGGAACAAAAATTCTAAAAATCTTCTCTAAATGCCCTAATTTTGTGAAAAACATGTAAGAAAGGATATAATTTTTAAAAATAATTTTACAAAACATTTTTGTCACACTTTTGTAGTTTTTGATCAAAAATGACACAAAATGTTCACATTTTGACAGAAAATTTTATAAAAATAAATTTCAAAAAATATTCTCTAGATTCCCTAATTTGATGAGAAATATGCAGGAAGAAATACAATTTAAAAACATTATTTTACAAAAATGTTCATCTTGTTTTGTTGTTTTGGACCGAAAATGTAAAAAATGTTCAAAAAATTGTTTTCTAAAAGCCCTAATTTAATGAGAAAATTGCAGGAAAAGATAATTTTGAACTTTTTTTTTTTTTTTTACCAAAAAAAGTATATTTTTTCAGAATTTTAAACACAAAAATAGACATAGTTAAGTATTTTATTCTTCCTGTCGTGTTCGGGACAAATCTCACCGTGACCAGCTTTTAGTTTTTTTTACCATAGTCCATTGAGGGAATTATATGGGAGATGATAAACCTGGAGGGGAAGCTTGTGTTTGGGGACACCCGGAGTAGACGTGGTGCACCTTCAAGCCTATGTAGGTCTGTTGATTCTAGTGGGAGTATATCGCTCAAACAATGATGCTACAAAACGTCTATGGGATGCAGAGTCTGGCATGCATGCATGCATACATGCATACATTTAAGGATTATACAAGTTGCTTCCTTAACCACCAAGCCACCACTGCCCCCAGAAAATCTAGAATACAGATAAAAATGCAAACATCTGAAGATCTAAGCTGATGCTTGTGATAGAAAGGCTGAGTCAAAAGTAAAATAAATTTTTGATTTTTTTATTTTCAAAGGATATTTTATTTACTGTCACCAGAAACTAGATCTAAACACAAGTGCATGGTTTAGCGGTGAAGTAAAATTAGGGTACCCACAATTACAAGTCGGTAAGGCTAGGGTTTTACAGGGGTTGGGTCAATGTTTTAAGGAGTCTACAAGTTCCATCAGAATCTTCACAGGTGGGGGGGGGGGCAGAGCTGCACGGCTGCGTGACAAAAAGAGGGCGGTGTCAGCTTGCAGTACTACTGGTGACACTTAAGGTAACCTGAGAAGAGGCGAGGGGAGATGCAGTGTATTCCATGCAAAATAGACAAGACTTAATTTCCTTAAAATACTCAGATGGACAATTGGATGCATATTCTATTTGTACTAAAATGACAAATGTTGTTTGTTTTTTTTTTTAACCATAAACCATATATCTGCAATGACTCAAAGAAGGCAAAACCAAAGACTTGTTTCAGGAGATATTTTATATTACCCAAAGCATAGACTAAACTACATATAGCCATGTACATCCTTACATACAGTAGGTGTCACGATACACACATTATATACTACACTATAAATCATCAAATCACATCACTATTAAGCAATATTTTTTATATCTGTTTATATAAGAACTGGTTTTAAAGATGTATGACTCTATCATATCTGGATCTAGATTATTTTTGAAACAGTATCTAGATCCCAAATGAATTTTAAGTTTTATACATTCAATAATTAAATCTGAAAAAAACATTGGGTAGACGACCTGGTTTTAATATAATCAAGGTATTAATAATTAAATAATACATTTATTTTAGGCTATTTTCAGGTACAAATCTATGGCCTTGAACTGTGGAAATCTCTATTAGATTTATCAGAAGGAATACATGATAGTGATTTATTTTTCAACTGATACCAATAATCAATCTTTATCTGGTCCTCACTTATACAATAAACAAAAAAATATTATATTATATTATAAAAAAGAAAACATCTAGCGTCTGGATGATCGACTCTGTGTAGAAACAACTCTGCACTCGTTGGTAAATTTATCAGCTCAAACAACATCATTTATGCTGTTAAAAATGACCAGAATATTGACAGATAATCTGTCAGATCAGGTATCATCCTGCATTCCTACATCTAATCTGAATCCCTACTTCTAATCTGAATAACTGTGTTCACACTGATAACCAAGAGCAACACTGGAGAGTGGACAAACCCAAGGAGATACCTTAAAGACACAGAAGGACGTAACAGGAGGGACATGTCAGGGACAAGAAGACAGTAGTGAGGGTGCCTTGTCAGCAACACTGTGGGACAGAGTGGAGAAACATACATACAGTATTAGTCAGAGAACAGACCCAGGATCAGAGTAGTGAGACATGTTAAAAAATCAACAACATGTATTCTTTACTTTTAGGAACGTTCTTCAACAACACTCTGTTCATGTCACTTTTTATCCACAAAAAAAACTAAGATCTGAGTAAGTATGAAAAAACATTCACCAAGTCACAGGTAATCTAGTTTTGGGCTAGATCTAAGGGGTTCCTGTGCCAGAAGTGGCACAGTGAGCTTCTCCCTGACTCAGTCTGCTGTAGCAGTGTTAGAACATGTCTGTCAAACTGCTAATTTTTATTAACAATTGCAATGTTAAATTCCCTGAACTGAAATTATTTGAAAAAAAAAACTAAGTGCAATCTAAAAGTCATATTGTCCTCACCTCCTCATCGCTCTCTGGCTCTGCTGTCTTCTTCTCTTTCTTGGTCTTCTTCTTCTTCTCATCCTCCTTCTTCTTTTGCTCTTTGTCAGGAAGAATGTCATCCAACCAGGCCAGATCATGCTGCGAGAACATCAGATCCAGCAGTTTGCGTACTACCATCAGACCCAGGATCTGTGAAAAATATTTTAAGGTAGCTATTAACATAATCTTTCACTTGAATTTTACGGGACAGTACATGAGTGGACGATGCTGTTGCAGTGTTAATGTCCCAGTGGCCAATGTTTGAGCATCAGCCTCCAACAAGCCATCTCTAAGGCAGAGTCAGTCGACGCTCATGGTAGTCAAGGGAAGTGGTGATGGGAAGGACTAAGGCCGTTTGTACATCACAGCCTCTGCAACCTGGACCAACAAAGTCTTAAAAAAATAATCAAAAAGTAGGCTCACCATGACGGGGAAGATGATGGCCAGGAATGTGGACTTGAGGATCCACAAAACTGCAAGACATACTATCTGGACAAGTGTGAAAAGATGGACGCGTCTCAGAGGTACGTGTCGCAAAAAAGAGAAGTCTGGCTGGTGTTTGGCTGGCATCAGGTACAGCTTGATACGGTCCCAAAACTATGAATAAAAAAAAGAAAGTGCTGACTAATTGAATATCACCTTAAATGTTGTCAGTGAGCTTGAGTTAAATAGTACGATTACCTGGATACCATTTAGTGAGGCAACCCCCATGTAAAGAAACACTCCGTACAGGACTGGCATAGGAATGTACTGCATATGAGAAGAACATCAAACATTATGATTATACTGTATATGGATGAAGAACACAAGTAACACTGACTATATATATATTTATATATATGATATATAGGATGTTGCGATTCCTTCCTTGAAAATCTCAACCGCTCATATATTTAAGTGACCTTTTTAATTTTAAAATTCAAACAAAACTGAGTAATTGCCTATTATAAATGACAAATTTTACATACAATAGTGAACGGGATTATATTGAATTACCACTGATGAGTAAATGAAAACCGAATTATTTTTAAAAGAGAAAATATATATATAAAAAATATATACATATATATTTTTTTAAAGTACCTGTTGGGAATCTTTGATGTGAGCATCATGATTGTTGGGAAATTTATACAATTACATTAATAAAAAAAAAAACGTAAAATGAGTCACAGACCTTTAGGACAGGAGCGAGGAAGACAGAGAGTCCAGTGAGAACAAACACCAGTGTTCCAGTCAACCTCTGCTCCCTGCACACCAACAACACTGTGTTATTTCAACACTGCACACATGTAGAGTTTTTTTAGAAGACAACACTCATGACCTCTCAGCATATCAGGAGGATCAGACCTGACTCCTAAGAACTGAGGCTGTTCTCCAGGGGCGCTGCACTCACTCTCCATCTTCAACGATTCGATGTGAGCGATAGAGATGACGGTCGCGGCGACGTACCAGGGTAGGCCCATGAAGGAGCACGCAGCCATCAGTACACCCACCCAAAAAAGGTCCAGGTGGTAACCGCAGCTTTTCTGTGGGTGGATACAAAGACAGGAAGTGAAAACTCTCATGGGTTTAATCATTTTATCACTGCTTAAATGTCTTGGTGCCTTGGCGTTGGCCTGCAGACCTTTAGCTTGTTTTCTTTACGATTAACGATGACAGCGCTGATTTGCTGATCCATAAAGATGAGGATGGTGACAAGAAGAGCGGGCACAAAGGTGGCCAAGTACCACCACCAAGGGTTCTTACCGAACGGCATCACCAACCAACCACGGTCTGGACGTGTGGGCTGTGGCGTACAATACACACACACACACACAAGTCAACAAACACAGACTTGGAATAAAAAGGAAAATACATAAAAACATACAATATCATTTACTTATATATTCATTTTTTAATTAAAGTAGGAGGCAAATTAAAAGTTTAAATCATTGTTGAACTTAAGTTAAAGACACCAAGACACTGACTATATGAAAACCTGAAGCAAACAGGCACTCAGTAACACACACAAGATTTGGTGACAGATCAAATACCTTGAACTCAGTGGGAACGATTAGTTTTGGCGTGTCTAACCCCATCAACATGTCCAGACCCACAAAGGACATGATTGACATAAAGATGGCAAAATCACTGATTAGCTTCCTCAGCTACTCATCCATCCAGTGTACACATGCACATCGATAGAAAGAAATTACAAAAAAGGGGGTGAGGAATGACAGTCAGAAGAAAAGACAAGAGAAAAGAGGAGAAAGATTAAAAGACTCATCGATACATTAATAGTTTCTCATTAAAAAATAATTAAAATATAAACTTTCTAAGTGAAGAACTGAGTCTGGACGGGGGGCTGGGGGGGGACATGGTTAAGGTGTGTATAAAGGGGTGAACCTTGATCTCTGTGGGGACATGCAGTTTGGGTGTATCCAACTCTAACAGGAAATCCAATCCACAGAAGAGCAGGATGGAAATGATGATGGCAAAGTCACTGACGAGGGATCGAAGCTGGAGCACATTAGAGGAGAAGACAGTTGGGTTCAGTTCTGAAGGTTTGGAGGATGGAGATCTGGATAAATGTGTAGGAACATGTGTACTTGGCTGCTGAAATACATGCATGTTACTAGGAATTGTCAGGGTGGGCAATGTTTATCTAAATTAGTTTCAAAATACAGTGGGATCAAAATTCACATTCAGCTTTTTATTTCAAAAACTATTTACATTGTTAACACTGTAGTCCCTTCAAACTACTACTCTAATTCATCTAAGGAAATACATTTACAAGTTATGTAATACTGTAGGTCCGCGCCCCCAATAGGGGATCACTTTGGGAACCACAAGGCTATAACAAAAAAACTGTAAACATCTACATTCTTTGGTCTTTTTGCTGACGTCACGGTTTACTAGCGGGTCACAACCAACGTTTCTAGGCGCATACTGCCACCTACTGTACAAGAGTGTAGACTACGACTAGTGACAAAGAATAGCCTCCTCTTCACGTATTGTGTCACGATACATTTTCATGCGAATCGTTACACATTTGTATCGATATTTCATTGATTCATTAAGCATCGTTATATCACTAATAAAAACTGGAAAATCTAATCTGACTCCTACACTGGGAGTCAGATTAGATTTTCCAGGAAGAGGGGAAGCATGTGTTTGGGGGACACATGGAGAGAAGCAGACCTAGTAGACCTTCAAGCCTACGTAGGTAGGTTGATTCTAGCTGGAGTATATTGCTCTAACCATGAGGCTACAAAAAGTCTATGGGATGCAGAGTCTGGCGGGCCTATATTCCCATTTTCATATTATATTACAAAAAATAAAATCCAAATGTACGGACTTTGGGTAGTGGAGAGAGGTTCTATTGAGAGCCTCAGTGTCATACCTTTGTTGGAAAGTAGTGGCTGGACTTGAACTTCTTCAGAGACACGGTCATAGAGTAGGTCCCAAAAAACAGGATGAAGGACATGAGCGCCAGGTCAGGAACATACTTACAGGCGCTCCCCACCAAGGACCCGCCGCACTGGACACACTCTCAGCTGATTCCAGTCCAGGTCTGTCAAGTTAAACTGCAGAGACAAGGACATGGTGGAGGAACTTTATCATAGTATACAAAGCTTAAACAATTAGACCATTAAATGGACAATCTACAATTATTTGGCTCTAGTGTCAAAAACCAGAGAGTCAGTCACTGACCAGCAGAGTCATGTTGTCGTCGCCTAGAGGAGCTGAAAGGTTTAGGCCAAGTTCTAATGAAACATGAAAAGGAAAGAAACACAGAAATGCAGGAGTCACACCAAGGGTAGAACATTCATGTTTCTGTACAAGTGGGGTTTTTTTGTTTGTTTGTTTTTTAAACTACACAATGATACTCACATTTCAACAGCCAGGAGTAAGATAGAATAAAAAAAAAATCCAACAGTAAATCGTCAACACTTAAATCAAGTCATTTTACATAGACATTTAGATTGTAAACAGCAGTTTGATATTTATTTTCAATATTTGAAGTAATTAAGTCAAAGTTATTTGTTAGTTATCGGTTATTAGACTCACCCTGATCTGGAGGGAGGCATTCACATTTGTACGCAGTCACATAATCAGGCTTAAAGCCACGGTTGATTGGGTAATAGTTAAATGCTCCCACCTACAGTGTAGAGGGAAAAACATTTAACATTTAAACGTTGGTACACTGGTGCTGCTCAGTAGCACATGTCACAGGACATTTACTGCCAACCTTCCTCGGATCAGTGTTGTTTCATTACTGGTCAGAGTAATTGAACTAAGTCATGCAGAAAAATAATGTTTTCCTGTAATTTAAAAAATAATTGAGGATTTTCTTTTCATCACCTAATGTTAAAGCCTACTAACTTCTGTTACCTCTTTATTTAAAAGAGTTGATTACAGCGGAAGACTTCATGTTTACAGAATGTTTTGGTAACATATGGAAGTAGTATTTCTGCTGATTTAATCATAGTTTGACAAGAAGTATTTTCCATTCATAAAACTTTATAATCAACTTCATAAATCAACATGTATCATTCTGTATTACATAAAGGATTTGACGATTCCAATATTTCCATCTAGCCTACAAATAGGGCAGCCGGAATTAATTTGGTGTCAGCAACTGCCAACCACAAATGCTAACACGTCATCTATTTTCGTCACTCACCATCTTCTTGATGGCATCGGAGATGAATATGAAGGAGATGAGGCTGGAGAAACCCTCCTCTGTGAAGCGGGTCATGTACTTGATGATGTAACTGGCGTCTGTCAGCACCAACACGAAACACTGCAGACATGAATGAAGGCCAATCCACAGACGCAGCTCCATGTAGTCAATCTTACTGCTCCTGTTGAAATGCAGCGTGTTAAACTGAAATATCTCTTCTCCCTGTGGCTGTAAACAAGTGTGCGGGTGTCACATGTCGTACTTGCTGAATTCATAAAGCAGTTTCTCAAAAATAAGAATGGGTCCAGTCGAACTGAGGATGATGAGAGGCTGTCCACCAAAGAGACAGAAGACAGTTCCTGCTAATGCAGTGCCCAGGAAACTCTCCATCACCCCCTGACAGACAGACAGACAAGGGAGAAACAGAGAAAGAGCCTCCTTCAACAACAACATCACGTTCTACACCTAGAGAGGGATCAACACACTATTGCAAATCAATTAGCAGTTTGATTGCCAGGCTGATGTTCTATCACTATTTCACTGTTTTATAAACACTGAAAGTAAACTGTTGAACCAGATGTAAAACATCCAAACTCAGAGGGATGGATCAAGAGGACCTGGTAATTGTCAGTGGCATCTCCCAGCAGTCCCCCAAAGGTGATGGCATTGGTGATGCAGCCCAGGTAGATGAAGAGCACAGCGGAGATGGACTGAATATGGAAGCCATCATAGATATCACTGCAATACCACGGAATCTTCCTTTTAATGTCTAACCATAAACCACCGCCAATCCTGTAATTGGAATGAAAGAGATACAAGAACATGTCATAACCTGTTTGTAGCTACTCTTCCTGTTTTTTAACAGGAAATAATCTTTTTTTTCATACATAGATTCCCATTCCTGCAGTATGTTCCAAAGGTGGATGACATTTTCTCCCAGGGGAACACAGGGATCATGACAGAGGAAGTGAAACCTGTCCCATATATGACAGAACATTACATTTAAATAAAGTGTCAGTGAAATGATTTTATTGTGAATATGCTGAAGGTGGAGAATGTAGAAAATATTAAATGTGTGCGGTGTTCATTTCATAGACTTAATTATGTATGACTAAATGAGAATTGTAATAATTATTGATGGTGACTTGAATTCAAAGCTCTTTTTATGCTTTAGGCCTAAACCAAACTGCAGCTGGAGACGATAAAACAGGTGTGTTGTATCATCTCCAGGACTCTCGTACCTCCCAGTGAATTTCAGCTCCTCTCCAAGCTCATGTGGAGCAGGGAGGTCTTCATCATCTCCTCCAGCTCCACTCGCTGAGCCATTCATCTGACTCAGCTCATTTAGATTCAGCACTGACTTTCTGAGATGGAGACCAGGAGGGAAAATATTTGGTTAATACACAGCAGCCTCTAAATATGCAGTCTTTTTAAAAAAAACAAAACAAACAAACCTCATTTCAGCTGAAGGAACTTTCTTGGGGGGTTCAATGCGTATCTTGGGGTCCCATTCTCCGGGGGGCAGAACAATGACCTCATCCAAGAACTCATCAACACCTGCAATTAGGTCATTGCGGTCTCGTGCTTTGTAGGCAACATCACTGAACAGCTAACCACAAAGAGTAAAGAAAGAAAATATCATCTTCACTGGATTTGAATGGTCATCAATGCTATTAGAAATTATTTGTCATGTTTTTGTGACACTTCTAGAGTTTAATGCCACAGAGGAAGAACAGGACAGAACCAGGCCTGAAGGTCAGCTGGAGCAACTGTCCTCAGTGTGCTTCACAAAAATGATTGTGTTAGACCTGAAACAATAGTCCCTCTCAGTGGCCCACTATGTTTTCCTGCTCTAGGCTGTGATTAAATGATGTTCACTCACATCATCCACCATGAGTGTAGCGATGGCCCTGCCAATTTCATTGTAGGACTTGGTTTTCCCTGGAGGACCGAGGAGGATGAAAAGAAACCTGCCAGGACACAAGTGTGAAAAATACTGAACTATCTAAACATACTGATAGTGGGCATGGGTGTGTGTGTGTGTGTGTGTACCTGGTTGGTACAGGGACCTCAGTGAGGCCCCCCAGTGTCGTGGCCTCAGCCAAACGCACAAAGGAGACGAAAGGCTTGTCAAGAAAGTCCACTTCACCAATCAGGACATTGGAAGCCTCGGCATCACGAGGGATCTTCTTCATGAACTTGTTCTTCAACTAAAACAAAAAGAAAAACTGTTGTACAGTCATCTCATCCAGTTCCATCTTGTCTCACCTCATTTTAAAATATTTGGAATAAAGTTTTAGCAATGCAATTTTAAAACTGTTTCATGTTAAATACTTAAAAGCATTTGCAATGTTATTGTATAATTTATAAAATGACAGTAAAAACAGACAGCAACGCATGCACATCAATAAAGTAACTTGCAGTTTAAACCTCACTCATTACTATTATTAAGTCTTTATTAACTCTTAAAATTTTTAAAACATGGATACAAGAAATCAGACACAGAAATGAGTTGCAGTGATTTAATATTTGCTAATAATGTTTCCTTGTATTTTAAAATCCTTTTCCAAACTATCTGCAGGTCCACATACCCATAAGGATTAGTCTCAGAGATGTAATAATGTGATTGAGGTTGACTGACCACATGACTTCAAACCACTCTCAGAGTCAAATTCAAAACAAACCTAAAAAGCTGAACAAATGATGGAATTTCAAAGGTTCGTCATGTGATGAAAAAAAAAAACAGGCCCAGATTAGGAGTATTAGTTTTTGCTATTTCACCGCAAAGGTTTCTATTTTTTTTTTAGGCAAATCAGGCAGGTTTTAGTACAAAATATTAAGAGGTTACATGTCTAGTCACAATGAAGTTGTTTGACCTCTTTGGGTTTGACATTGTTGGCTGGAATTTTTTATTAATATTAAATAAAATTTTAAACTGAGTTTTGAGTATTTTTTTTCCCGATGTGCAAAATTGTTAATATCCAGGAGAGATTTAAAGATAGACAAATTTAGTTTTTGAAACTTTCTTTTCTTACTTTTAAGTCCATCTTGAAATTTATTTCTAAAACCAAACAATAACATTACAGGGTAATAGCTGCACAGAAGTAAAATTTAGGAAATCCTTCATCAGGAAGTGAGAGTGACTGAGAGCAGAAAATAATGGGATTTGAATATAAGTATAACCGTAGGATTTCTGAGAGCAGAGGCCATTTTTACCTGATCTGAACTCAGTGTTCCAGAAATGTCATTCATGCTCTGGCTCTGGGCATGATCTGAAAACACATTTTTATTTGATTGAAGTTGAAATACACATACAAATTAATATTTTCTTCAATAATAATGAAACATTTACATGATATGCTCTAAAGATTCACAATTATAAAATATATTTTAATAACCCAATTTTCACCGTATTTATTTTAAAGCAAATTTGGAATATGATAAAATAAAAATAAAAAAAAGAAAGAAAGAATCAAAACAAAGGGCATAGTTTGAAAAAAGTTTCTTTCTGAAAAGTTGGACTAGAATTAGTAGGACTAGTGTTGTGATGGTGTTGATCACACCATCACCAAGGTCAAAAATGGGCACCCTCTAGTGGTATGCTGGTGAAAATTTATTCTAAACTGTATTGAATTATGTTGGCATATATACAATAGGATTCAATTTATATATAAATAACAAAGAAATTCTCCTCTTACTTACTCCTAAATACTTTTTGTGGTGGTACATGATGTAGACCTTAAGAACAACTGTAGGAGCCACGTGATGCGTTTGTGTTTATTATGAGTGGAATATGTTTTGCATTAAATGGAATGTGACAGTAACCAGAGTTACTGTGTATGTGTGCAGTTAGACTCACACAGGCGGCCAAGGCTGCTCGACTGCCGAGAGTGTAGGTCCTCTGTGGAGCGGTGGATCCCAGAGGCAGAGCTAATGCTACGACTCAGATTTACCTGAGGACTACGGCCTGATAGAACAGCAGCAGGAGGAGACGCAGGAAAACAGGCAACGGAGAACAAGTGATTATTAGAAGAAAGAAACAATGAAAGAAACAAACAAAGAAAGAAAGTAAGCTGATAGTTTTCAGCAAAATGGAAAAGTGTTAGTAAGCCTTGATTGATTACTGATTAGTAATAAATAAGGTGTGCAAAGACACAACAGACTTACTAGAAGTAGGGTTTGAGGACTTCCCGATGTCTGCTAGCGAACGGTGGATTGGTTTCTTTGTCTGATGTCGATGTCTCCTCAGCAGCACAAAAATGATCTTCTCTTTTAGATCAGGAGAAATGCAACCATCTGTGACCTGCTGCTCCACAATCTCATCTGCACAGGACATTACACAGGATTTATATTAGCACAGAATTGTACATGTGGTATTCAACGTACACATGACAAATTCAAGGGTCACTGGCCTCAGATCATGTTCATAGTTTCGTGTTTGGTGGTATTTGGAGTGAAGTTTATGGTGATATTTGTTATTGTATTAGGAGTCTGACAGTATCTCATTAACGCCAACAGCTGGCTAAAAATGATTCACATTTACATATAGTAGTTGTGATATTCTGTAGCCATGCAAGGGAAAGGAAAACATAATTTACAACTGGGCGACAGAGCAGCTACCAACACTGTAATGTGTTAACATTTTTTAACTAGTTTAAGCTTTAGCTCTTTACTGAGTTGCACAGTAATGCTCTGGATTATTGACTCCGATCATGGCTGTGAACACAGATTGATTTCTCTAACAAACACAGAAGTGATGTGTTGTTGTGACTCACCCACTATCTGTGGCAGTGAATACCCCTCCAGGTCCAGGAGAATACTTCCTGTCTGCAGGCAGGTTCTCAGCTCAAACAGGCTGTGAAGGGTCAGTGTGGAGACGTGCGGCTTGCTCCATCTTTCTCCGCCCTCCTCCACTTTCTCCTCAAACTTCACCCACCTGCAGGGGGAAAAGGAGGAAGAGGAGAAGAAAAAGAAGTGCAGCTTTTAAATATATGTGTCATGAGACTGATATTTCCCCAGGATTGAGTTATGATACTCCACACAAATATAAACATGTCTCACACACGCTTTCCACTCTAATTCTCCACCCTCCTGTTGCAGTGTGTCCATTTCAGTGAATAAGGTTGGTGTAGGAGTACTGTCATCCTCTCCCAGTAGGTGACGCAGTCGTTCTGCTGCAGGAGGCACTACAGAGAGATCGAACAATACAGGCAGTATAATACAGCTCATGTCAGTTTATATCATATTAATGTCTACGCTGCCACTCTGTAGCTAAGTGCGTTCAAAGAGCCCATTTTGCGATCATGTGCAATACTGACACAATTTTGGTTTAAAAATATATTTTTTAATTTAAAATACAATATTACCAAAACGTTGCTTTACATTACATTAACAGTCTGTAAAGTTTTCATATGATGACAACTTAAATAATCTGAGAGCTGTTCACCAAACAAACTTAATAAACTTAATAATAATAATACTCGTAAAGCTGTGTTCTCTGAGTTTGTGAATCAGACCAACTGTTTCAGTAAAACTAACACACATCATGTTTAATTAAATCTTTTTACCCTTTAACTCAGGGGCTGGTTATCAGTAATCAATTGGCCGTCAACCTCTTCTGCATTTACCGTTAGCAAATCAATCTCTATTAGCATTTCAGCCTGTAGGGTGCGCTCCACACTGTGCAGTTGTATGTCTGACACTGTGTTTTCTGTCCTTCCAACAACAGGGAAAAGTCAATACAGGAAACAGTCAAAGATGGGATTGTTTCCAGTGGTGTCATCAACCATCACATTGCTAATCCTAATCCTAATCACATCCATCCATCCATGTACGTGTGTATGATTATTTAAATCTATGACCAGGATGCAGTATAACGAAAAGTCGACCATGTGACCAGGCAGTGTTTTTTTCCATGACTACGTCTGGTCTGTCACATCATGGCAGGTCAAATTAGGACATGGCGCTTAGTCTAAATATGTATCTATATATATATTTATAAATACACATATTTAATTTTACTTAAAATGTATTTATTTATTTATATAAAATGTATTATAATAATAAACTTATGTTCTCATTATACAAACTATGCAATGATGATGATATACATTTTCATTTACTTCTCAGGTCATGTAGCATTTTCACCAGGCATTCCTCAATTACATTTGAAAGTTTTAATCCCATTTATAGTCAAAATGGACTACACTGACGACTCTCTTCCACACGTCAGTAAACACCTGGGTGCGGATCACGTCTGGTCCTGAACTCTCTGAAAGTCTCAGGGCCATAGAACCATGTTAGCTTTTTACATCAATTCACCTGTCACACAGCAAACAAACGACCACAGCCGTGTCCTGTTAATGTGAGGAGCTGAGCACACATTCAGGTTAAGTACCAATAACGTAATGCAACACTGACTGACACCAACCTCTTCAGGCAATTTTGGGTTCCATTAGTTACCTATTTTAGAGTCTGGAGTCCAGGGGGAGACCATGGTTAAGGGGTTTGACACCCCAGGGTCCTGCATGTCCCTTAATCCACTGACCAAACGGTGATGCTGGTAAGGGATCCTAGTTCTGGCCGTACCCAGGGAAAAAAACAATCGCCTCTAGTTTTAGTCCCGACCTAAGGTTGAGAGCCCTTGCTTCATGTCTCTTTGCATCGCACCACAAAAACTTTTGAGTTACTTTGGCGTCCTGCTGATATCAATCCACAGTCAGTGTTAGAATTCTGATCTTTCATGGACGCTTCAGGTACGTGTGGTCATTCTAGAGCAGACCTGAGTTGTTCAGTCAGTCTAATTCCTCTAAGCAGTTGGATTTCTGCTGCTGAAATCTCCAGAGCAGCGGAAACCAAAGGCTTTTAAGAGGGTTGAAACACAACACAGGGTTCTTGAGCACTCTCTACGCAGAATGTTGCAACAGCAGCAGCACAGCTATGACCATCTTAGACAAATTAATTCTGATAGGATGTCTGCAAACAGCCTTCTCTGATCTCATGTTTCTTTTCTACACAGCACACATAAATCCAGTCTCAGAAAGATAAAAAATCCAGCTCTCAGTGCAGACATGTTCACACACACAAAGCTTCACAAAGAAGTTCCTGAGCTTTAATCAGCTTACAGGCTTCAGACTTCACGGCCCCTTAGGAACAGGAACAATGCTGCAAAATATTTTTCCCATACAGTACATTCACGCACCAGTAGCCTTGACTCCAGCACATAGTCTTATCACAGGCAGCTCATTAAGCTAGTATCTCACTGGGCCATGGGTGGTTACAATTAGTTTTAGACAAACAAAACTGCAAAAAGTCCAAATTAGCAAAACTTGAAATGTTAAAATGATTGAGCTATTATTTTTACTTTTCAGTTTCACTTGAGATGCATTTGACAGCCATGGAGTAAACAGAAAGTGATTGAATTATTAGGTAGGATGGTAGGATGGATGGATGGATGGATGGATGGATGGATGGATTCTCAGAATATACCAGTTATTATTACAGACATAACAGTGGATGGAGGCATATTTAGATTTGCTGACCTGTGGGGTCAGTGTGCTCCTGACACTGTGTACTCCCCTGCTCATCATCTTCATATTGCCCTTCTTCATCATAGTAATAGCCTCTGTGTCCATGTTCATGATGGGTGTGTTGGCCATAATGCATGTGTCTTGTGCTATGGTCGCCATCACTGGCACAGGAGTGGTGTCTACGCCTTTTACGTCTGTGGGAGACCGGGACTCCAACAGAAAGATGCTGACTCTCTGAAACAGAGAGAGAGAGTGTGAGAGATGACCATGTATACAGTACTACAATGAGGGGTAAAGCCTACAGTATTTTGAGTTTAATATTGTAGTATGATCATGAATGTTTCAACATTCCCAAACAAAGGTCATAGCACAGTCTGGTCTTACCGTCATCATTAGCTTGACATTGATGATGACCTCTGTTCCTTCTTCTCTGCCGCTCATGATGATTCATTCTGAAGGAAGGAAAAAGGAAAATATTTATATATAAATTAAATATATATATATATACATATAGAGAGAGAGAGAGAGAGAGAGAGAGAGAGAGAGAGAAAGAGTTGTAGTTGAAACTAATGAAAATCAATACAAACAAACTGTGCAGTGACATGTCAGTGTTAAAGGCACCCTTTCACCACTGTGCTGATTCTTGATTTGTGTCACTGTGGCCAGTTGGACCACATGTCAGTGCATGTGCTCTGCACTTCGAGCTGATCGAAGAATAGGGAGAGGAAAACTCAATGTAAAACCCCAGCAGTTCTGTACAGCACAGCTGAAACTCCAGCCTGTATAACAGGGCCACACACTGAGAACAGCATTGGTTTGTGTCTATTAATGTAGTTCCACAATTCACAAACAATGAATTTAAGTTTTACTCATAAAATAAATTGTACAAGTCATGTCTTTATGTAAATTGGAAATACAATATCACAAAATGAATTATTAAAGAGAGGAAATGTAGCAACTAAGCACTTTTTACACCAACTCCACTGTGGTCTACTACACAACCTTAAGATTCACCATCAGAACAATGTTATACTTATAATTTAATTTAATTTAATACTACTTTCATCCTAAGTTTTTTTACTAATTTACCAAATAAAAACATAATTAATTTTGACAATAACAAAGATTTACAGCTTGCATTATTCCTTACATACAAATAAAATATCTTTGAAAACATGGTAAAGCTATTAGCATTGAGCCGAGTTGGCATAACTGGGGATGGGTTATGGCCACTTCCTAAGGTACTTTTTATTTTTCTATAAAAAGTTTAATACTATTATATTAAATTTGAAATGTACTTGTTGAATACATTACATTATACATTTGAAATGTACTTGTTGACCTCTTCATGCAACAGTGACGATGTAGGTTTCCCTAGTATGAAACCAATTGTTGAAGTTTTGGAGGCAGATCAATAGACGTCATTACTGATCCCTCACCAGACTCTGAAGTCTGACCAGTGAGTGTGAAGGACAATAACACAAGTTCAGTCATGCACGCACATACACACACTCACACAAACACATTCAGTATGTGATCTAATTTTGGTTTTCCATAATATTTGTCAGACTTACTCTGCTCTGCCTTTTATTGTTAATATACAGTATATATACGGTATATACACATATATGTATGTATATAGCACCATTTTCTCCCAATTGTGTTTTTTAGGGTTTTCTCTAAAAATCATGATAATGACCCAATAACATACTGTAAAATATGATTTTTTTTATTATTTATTATTCTTAAAAAAATTAAACGCTATTTAAGTTGCATGTACTACTAAGAAAATTAGTATTAATTAAAAATGTAGGAAATGTGTCAAACTTTGTGCCTTTCAAAAGTTAAATAGTATTCTGAAATTATGTACCGTATGTAAGATTTTGCTTATAATATATTAAGAATAGATATTTAAACAATTTAAAGAAGATTCTACACTTCAGTTTAACATCCCTTAATATTTTGTTCATCCTGGTTACCTGGGTAAAAGTGATGTAATGATGGCTTACCTGTAGAAACAGATACAGCTGAGAACAGAAATATCAGAGTCCACCAAAGGTTAGTTAGTTAGTCTGAGGTGAAGCTGTAGGTACTGTGGTTGATCCCTGGTACAAACCTGTAAGTGAACGAGACAAAGGCATCAACAAACTGAGTGGCTCGCAGTGGCTACACTCTGATTATTGGACTGTGTGTGCGTGGCAGTGTGCATGTTTAGTTGTTTATTTATTTTAACACAGTTCAGTTCAAAACTGACAGACTTGAATAATCCAGTGGTAAAATAAAATTAACAAGGTGTGAAATAAAGTCCATCTTTAAAGTGCAACATGATTTTGCTTTTTTTTGTCTCATTTTTGGGTTTATGTAGGGTAATTTAGGTGAAAGCTGTTCTGAAAAAATAAAATAACATGATTTCATTATTATTGTATATATTATTATAATATATATGATATAAGGAGCCCCATTATTTTTCCCCCATGTCCCTTTAGGGCCT